CAACTTCCCTTCCTAGATGTCTTGGTATACAAAAAACCCAATGGCTCCCTAGGACACACCATCTACCAAAAGAAAACACATACAAACCGCTATCTACACGCACTCTCACACCACCACCCAGCACAGATCAATTCCGTAGCTGAGACACTCATCTCCAGAACAAAATGCTTAGCTGATGAACAACACCTAAAAACCGAACTAAACACTCTCACCAACGTACTAACAGCCAATAGATTTCAAAGAAAGAAGATCACCCACCTAATCCAAAAAGAAACCCCAAGCAAAATCCAAGACAGAGAACAAGAGAACGGCAAAGCCCTCCTCCCATATATAAAAGGCACTACAGACAAAATCAGCAAGATCCTCCAAAAACACAACATTAAAACAGCATTCTGCACAAACAGAAAAATATCCACCATCCTAAGAAACCCTAAAGACAAAATCGAGTTAGAAAACCAAGGAGTATATGAAATCCCCTGCACTGCCTGCCTCACCACATACATTGGACAAACTAACAGAAGAATAAGTGCACGCGTTGAAGAACATAAGAACTCAATCAAAAAAGAAGAACCAACCTCTTCCCTGGTCCAACACCTCAAAGCCACAGGACATGAGATTGACTTTAAAAATACCAGAACTATTGCCAAAACTGAACACCACAGCAGCAGAATAATCAGAGAAGCCATAGAGATAGAAAAACGCCCACACAGCATGAATAAAAGAGATGACACCTCCCGCTTACCAGCCATTTGGAAACCCGCCCTCATGAACAGACGAGTACCCAACATGATAAATGACACCAGACCCACACCCATGAGGGCCACACAAGATACCACCACCAGGAAAAACTTCCGGTTTGTCGGCTTCGCGAGCGGCAGGGATTTGCGAAGCTGCGCGATCCCTGCCGCGCTAGCCGCTTCTGGGGCTCCGACCCAGACGGGTACGGAGCTAGGCTGCCCTGCAGGGGCAGCTGAAGGTAGGGGGGATCCGGAGAGGGGTTTGGGGGTGTTGCAGACCCCCTCCCCGGCCAGTAGAACCCCCTTTTCTCAGGACGGTGCAGCGGCGGTCCATAATGGCCGCCACAAAGAAGCTGGCAGCCGGGTAAGAATGCGCAGGAGGAAGTGGAGAAAGTGCTTGAGGAGAAAGTTTTTCTTGGCTCCTAGGACTCTAAGACATATTTAATAAAATTCCTGAAAAGTATGAATTTCTGAATAATACCTGCCAGAAGAGGAAAAAAGCGGCTGTTTGATGGTGCTGAAAGGATAGCTTTCCCTCTTTTCCTACGGAATAAATAACTGGATATTAAGAAACCTATTTTTTTTAGGTGAAAATTGGTTTTAAGCGATGAGTGGGAAGAGAGAGGATTAAAAAGAAAATATTTGTATGCTAAGACTTTGTTGGAGCAGATGCCTTAAGGATTTGAAGACTAGAAGATATTGCAATAAGATTTTAAACAGATTTGGACTTTCTTTCTCTTTGATTGATATTACCCCAGAAGGAGAAAGTGAGAACTCTGCCTTGGTTTGGACTGACTGATAACTTTGGGATTGTTTTATTTTTTTTATTTTCTTTTGAATATTCTGGTTGTTGTAAGAAGAAAGAAGGGGAAAAGAAAAGAAAAGATCTATAATGGCTCTTTCTGTTGAGGAACTAAGAAAAGAATATGAACAAGCAAAAAAAAAATGGTAAAGATGGTGTGGAAGAAGCTTTCCTTTTTTTAGAAATGGCGCTTACTAACTATCAACAAACATTACAACAGATGAAGACAGCAGAGGAACAAGAAAGAAAGGAAGGAGCCATTTTTAATGAATCTCAGAATTTGATCAAGAAAGAAGGAAGAGAGAAAAGAAGAAAACTAAAGGACTTAAGATCTAAAAAAACATTTAAGAAAGGGAAAAATAAGGTGCAAAACCAATATGATGATTGTAAACAAAAGGGAAAAGGAATACGACAGAGAAGGGAAGCCGGTAAGGCAGAGGCTAGAAGAAGGGGGGGTAGAAAGGTTTGTTGGGAGAAGAAAGAAAGGGAAAAGGTGTAGAAAAGCTACAATGTTTTGAAATTAAATGAAAAAAAGGAATTTTTTATGGATAATGGATAAAGTATAATTTTTTTAAAAAAAAAGATTTTGCAAGGTACATAAGATGAGATGGTAGTATTGTAATGGTTTAAGAGTTGATAAGAGATTAAAATGTTAAAATGTTTAAAAATGATTGGCTTTAAAATTTAATAATAGGGGATTTTAATTAAAGAGTTTAATAAGATTATGGTATTGATGTTATTATAAAATTTTTATTATAGTATCTTTTTTTAATATTTGGATTTATTGTCTAATTATGTACTTAATTATTTTGGATGTATTAGTTAGATAGAATGTACCAAGCAAAATCGGATTGGGTATTGGATATTATTTTAAAGATTAATTTGATTAACTTAGAGGGGAGATAGAAAGGCATCATACTTTGATTAATGATTTCAGGAGAAACTTATTTTCCTCTTTTTTATAAGGAATGAGACAAAGGGATGATAAAAAATGGACAAAAGATACAAATATAATGATTCAAACTAAGATGATTAATTAAGATAGAATTAAGAAGGGTGAAATATGTGGAGAAGTTAATATAGAAGGCTTAGAATGGTAAATAAAATAAGTAATGATATGTAAGATGAGCATGAATATAATTGAAGTCCATGAAGAGAGAGACACCTGGGTCCAAGTTACTTTCCAAAAAGATTTTTTTTATGTTTTGTGTGTTGTGTGTATATGTTTTTTTGGGGGGGGGAGAATTAGTAAAAACTTGTAGAAATATAGAATGAGAATAATGGTAACTAAGTCAGAAAGAAATAGATGAAATAATAATAATGATATTGAATAAGAGTAAAGAGAAGTAAAGAGAAATTGAATAAGAGGTTTTGGTATGTTATATGGAAATGGTTTAAAACAGAATAATAATTTATCTGACTTGTTAAATTTACAATGAAAAAAGGTTTAAACATGTAATGAATAATGATAATTTGTGTGTTTTAAAAATTAATAAAACTTGTTTAAAAAAAAAAAAAAAAGATACCACCACCACACTTCCACGTAAAAATCAGACTCACACCCACACAGAAGATGAGACACGACCACAGACCAGAAGCCGCACTGCAGCTGCATCACTACCCACTTCAAACTCCTCTGAACCATACATGAAGCAAACTGACCCCCACCATGAAGATGTGGCACGACCACGAACTCGAAGCCAAACGAACACAGACCCAGACCCCAAACTCAAAGCCATATTAAAAACCCAAAATGCTACATCACAGCCACCCGCTCAGGACATCACATCAGAAAACTCAAGAAATTACACCTCAAGAACTCAAGAAGTCACAACACAACAAATGACCCAGGATATCACAGTACAAGACCAAGGATACCACAGCAATAAATCTCACAAGGTCATCACACAACCCATTACCCAAGCTGTTACTACACAGGAGGCTAATCGAAAAGAGATCAAAACACAAACGACCCAGGAGATTACAACGCAAGACCCAGGATACCACAACAAAAGAACTCACAAGCCCATCACACAACCCATTACCCAAGCCGTTAAAACACAAGAGGCTAACGACCCAGGAGATGACAGCACAAGATCCAGGATATCTCTACAACAAAAGGCCATTACACAGCCCATTACACCAACATCAACTCCATCAACCAATCAAGAGGCTGCAGCACAGCCAACCAGCCCAGCACACCACCCCCCACCACTTGTATATATACAGAGATGGCAGCTCCGGTCACACACTGCTTGCACTGGCACTAAGCCGAAAGCACCAGCCTGAAGATGGCGAGTGGGACCTCGCTGAAACGTTGCCTAGATACTTTGAATCTTACGCGGGAGAAAACCCGAATAACCAAAGATCCATATATATA